TTGGAAACTTGGGTTAGAAGAGCAGGGCGTGACTTCGGAAGAGGTGTTCCAATGGGAGTGCAGGAGACATCGGCAGTGGAGGTGATCATTGATTGGAGATTGGAAGTGAGCTTTTAAGATTGAGTTCATGTACTTTAAAAAATTTGGAATAAAGAGAATTTTTTGATAAATATTAAGAGAGAATTTTAAATATTTAGGAGAAAAATTTAAGGTTTAAGTAAGATAAGAGTAGGGGAATTTAAATTTTGTTCATTATCGCTTCTACCAGTAGGCAGGTTTTTTCTTCGTCGGAGCTTGCAGTTTTAAATTTTGAGAGAAGGTCGAGAATTTTAGGATTTTTTAAAACTAGGCTTTAGATGATATTAAAGAGTTTAAAACTTGAGCTAAATCTGAACTATTGCTATCTTGCCTAAGGAATCCATGGGGGGAGTCTTCCTTTTTATTTTCATTTTCGGGAGGGGTTTGACTGGAGATTTCACCACTAACAACGTTAGCGAAGGAAATTCCCTCTTTAGTCCATTTACTTGAAAAACTTTTCTTTTTAGTCGGGTCAGAAAAGGCGGTTCCTTTCTTAGGCTGGGGGAATTTGGGACATTTTGTACAACATGCCGAGTGAACGAAGTCCTGGCAGTTGATACAAAATAGGTTTAATTGTCTTTCTTTTAAATGACAAGTCCTGGTTGCGTGCTCTCACTTTAAACACCTCGGTTTCATAAAGCAGTTCGCAGCTGTATGGTAAAAGTTATTACAGTTGAAGCATTGGGTTATTCCTATAACGAGATAACCCTCACCTGTAAATAACCCAATTTTGCTATATCAAAGATCTTGCTATTATTATCGTTACGTGGGAGGATTACAAGAAAATAGGGGAGGGGTTTTTTGGTTCTTTTAGAGGTGAGCTGCGTACAGCTTTCAGTTTGAAATCCTACTTCAGCTAAATCGTTAGTGATGTCATTTTTTTTGAGGAACTAGGAAGTCCTTTAATTACGGCTTTAATAGGTTTAATTATTTTGCGATCTATTACGTAGAATTCGAATTCCTTATCCGACTTCAAAAAGTGGATAAGGGCTCTGTATTCGTCGGGATCATTAGTAAACATTTTAACAACATTGTTTGCGTATTTTGGGGAATTTGCGTATTTTATTCTATTGCGTATTTTGGGGAATTTTTCAGAGATGCATTTAACAATTTTACTTCTTTGCCACCATTCCTTATATACCCCTCTCTTACACTCTCGTCATTGTGACGTACTATCCGCGCCATCTGGTGGTTTCCTATAATTTGCATATTCTTCTTCAAGATGTGTGTGATAATTCTACAGGTGAAATTTTTATTTTAGAGTTCAATTTCTGTGTGATTCTGAATTATTCTTAATTTATGGACATGAGTGTATAAAGATTTAATTTTTGAATTTTAGCTTACCTTTTAATTATTTTTTTTTCATTTATATATTAACCGCTCTCTTATTAATATACATTAATATTTATGTTTAGATCAATAAATGGAAGGAAAAATAAAGTCTAATAAAAGAAAAACTGTTCAGCTTATTAAAGTATTTAATCGATAGAACTATAAATTTGTAGACACGGTAGCCTAATGGTTATGGTCGCAAGCTAGCAACCAGTGTGTCATGAGTTTGAGCCCTGGTATCATTGTAGATCCACTGTGTAAAGAGGGTGATGCTTGTTAAACCTGTGGAGGCTCAACGCTTCCTCCTCGCTTAAAATAGGATCAAAATTATGAGAACAGTTGCCAATAACTAATAATCGTGTTTTTTATTATGAGCCATTAATAAAGAATCCCACTTAACTATTGATTTTTCAATTCCTATATTATTAGCTCATACTTTCTACATATTTATTTATTTATTTATCTTGGTGGAATTTTCAATCGTTAATAAATACATTTTAAAGCGTTCAATTGAGCTGAAATATTATATACAGGATTATTTTAGGTAACAATACAGTAATTTAATTATAATTAATACAAAAAATTGATTAAAACTAATTATTCAAAGAATTACAAATGCAGTCACTTTGGCATCATTTTTGGCAATTTAGCGACGCTTTAGGTGACATCAAAACTTGAAAAGTTTCTTTTCTCGCATTTTAAAGCACTCATTTGAGCTGAAGTTTTCTATACACTGTTGTTTTGGGAAAAAATACGATAATTCAAATCTAATTAATTAAATTTAATTGACCAAAACTAATTATTTAAAGAATTACAGATACAGCCACGTTTGTTTCATTTATAGCGTCTTGGGTCAAAACTTAAAAAGTTTTTTTTTCCCACGTTTTAAAGCATTCAGTTGATCTGAAATTTTATATATACGATTGTTTTGGATGACAATACGATACTTTAATGATAATTAATAAAAATCAATTACCACTAATGTGTGATTCTGTAATATGTATATACATATTACATTAATTGTAACTATTTAATAAAAAGTAGCTAAAATAAAAATTTTCTTTGTTGACTCAAGTAGGAATTGACTTAAAATTTTTTTTATGTTATTTGTTTGCGTGAAATTGTTTTGAAATATACCTGGTGTCCGAAAAGTGTGACTACACTTTCAAATATTAATTTTTAAAAAAACTTACATTATTTATTGTTTTATATGGAAAATATCAAAGTTTTTTACAGTGATTTATTGCTAGATTTCAATGGGTGCATTATTAGTTGCGCGCAACGCATCGAGTTCATACCAGATTTCCAACTTCATTCTATGAAGCATTGCAGCATCAACAATCTGATTGGCCCCTGCAATTGAACTTTTCATTTCAGCATTGGCACTAATTGAAGATTAGTACAGAATGTTTTTCACGTATCTCTACAAGAAGAAATCTAAAGGTGTTAAGTCTGGAGATCTGGGCAGCCATGTTATTGGACTTCCTCTTTTCACCCATTGGCCTAGGCGACTTTTTTTTCACTTCCAAACTCTGTGTGGCGGCACCTCATTTAAGCTGTGCATATGTTGTAGATTTTAATTCGGTAAACAGTGCTACAACTTCTTCTTGTGGTGAAGCTATTTTGAAACGAGAATATTCCAAAACGTGGACGTTGCGCTATTCTAACAGAAATTAAATTTTTTTTTCTTTATTTCCTTTGTTGTTTGTTTTTAGTCAACTTTTGAAAGTGTAGTCCTACCTTTCAGATACCCAATGTGTTCAATCTGAAGCCCAGTAACTGAGTGGTAGTGTATCGCGCTTCTTCTCCACTGTTTCAGGGTTCAAATTCCGGGATGGACAAGGTCGACTCAACATTTTATCCCTACAATGGGTCGATAATTGAGTACCAAGCTTGAGTGGGAAGTGAACACTGGGGGGTTCACGTCAGACTGACCACTTGACCGAAGCATCTGCATATTCACCCCAGCGCCTAAGGTCACATAAACTGAAACAGTAGGCCTTGTCTCTTATGGGCTGTTTGCGCCACTGAGTTTAGTTCAGTTATATATTCAATATAACCGCGTAATTTTGTTGTATATATTATATTTTCAAATACATTGAATGGGAAAGAAATTTCAGAAAAAAAATTACCATTAATTAATATGAATCACTGAAAATAATAAAACTATTTCATAACGTTTCTAACACACACACACAATATGTATTATCTCATCAACTTTCTATGAACACAAAGCCCCAATATTGCTTATATAATTTTGAAAAAAAAATAAATGTATGAAAGGGGTGTCACAGATCGCACTCTCCTCCTCCCCTCCTCATCTGAGGCAACTCTAATTACGAACATCCCTCCGCAATTCATCAATAATTTCAAAGTTTTGCGACAGCTCGAACCATCACCATCTCTACCTCCAGTCAATCATTTTACACTTTCCATCCCCCCTTTCAATGAATTATATATAGAACATCCCTTCCGAATCCCCTTTGCTTATTAGAGAAGTCGAAGTCACACACACATACACAGCGTAGAAGAGGTACCGCGGGCCAATTAAAATCGAAAGGGGGATAGGGAAAAAAATTAGTACGTTTTGACAAGACGCGTCTGTCGGTAAAGGGTTCCGGTGTTACGCTTTGGAAAGGGTTAGCGAAGGGAGGGTGTAATTTATTACAAGATGAATGTGCTCTGTCAATCCGTCAACCGCAAAGTAACATTGAGCTTTTATTAGCGGATGGAGGGATAGGGATAAGTAAGGGAAGATGTGAGACGAGAGATTTAGGAAGGAAGAATTTTTTTGCGTGTGTAATTGTGTGAAATATTAAACAGTTGTAAAATATTTAACATTTATCTATTATTAAATGCGCACATGAAATAAAACAAATATTTTTTGATGTAGAATGGTTGGTAGAAAGAGCGTGCTGTGTTTAGGAGGTGTTGGTGAGGAAAACTTTGAATGGGGGGTTTAATTATTCGATAGGCTAAAAGAGACAGCAAGTTTCCAATTTTAGCAATCAAGAGCAGTAGCGCACGCAGGAATGTTTCAGGGGGGTCCGGGGTCGAAAGTTCACCATTCTTGTCTCATGCTCCTTTTGATTTTGTCGATTTTCGGGGAAAAAATACATTAAAAAAAACTAATTATTGAATAAATAATTAGCATTAATTAATAAAATTAAACATTAATAACAGATAATTAATTAAATTTTCTGTACTATATACTTGGAACTATAATCAATCGGGAAAAAAATCAAGGGCTTTGGAGGGGAGGGGGTGCGGACCCCCTTGTGTGCGCCACTGATCAAGGGCACACACGAAACAAGTTATATAAAAAAAAATTAACTCAATTCCTTTTGGGGTCATCAAAGAAGCATTTTATTTTAGTTATTGTTTATTAAATAATTACAATTACTATAATTAAGTATATACATATGACAGAATCACAATATTAAGTGACAAAATAGAAAGTGATTTTTCATTTTCCTTCCTGTATGTGATGTTGGACTATTTTTTGTTCGTTACTATTTATTCACTAATTAAATTTAATTATTCTAATAAAATAAAAAAGTAAAAAGAAATCACATCATCTGAAGCTAAGCCATCCCAAATGGGTTTCGGACCCATGACCTTTGGATTAGAGGTTCAACGCGCTATCCATTGTGCTACAGGAACACAATGAGCTCTTTTCCTTTCTGTATGTGCTGTAGAACTATTATTTTTGTTTGGAACTATTTAGTGATTAATTAAATAGAATTAAGGAATTAATATTTGGAAAAAAACTGTATTAACATCAAGTGTCATCCACTACAAGTTTTAAAACAAATGTATTTGAACTTGAGTGGATGAATACAAAGTATTTTATTCACGATTGAAAATTTGAACAATAGAGTCGAACAATAGAGATAGTGTGAACTAATAGTAGGAATTGAAAAAGGCTTCACATTGCGCTGGTTGCACAAATTTCTTTACATTTTCCAAAATGCAACAGATATCCCAAAATGCATTTTTGCAAACACAACCTCTGTCAAGATTTTCCAATCCATTTTCCTCCGCTTCTATTTGTTCCATTTGGATCAAATTCTTCATGTTTGTGCGGTGTTAACTTTTAAGGAGTAAGATGTCTGCTCAGGTGCCATCCTTAGCACTTGATGAAAGTTTAAAATAACGAGGTCCATCACCAATCGACTTTAAGGTATCCGACTACTTTCGGAATCGTTATTTTGCAAAAGCGTATAAATGGATAACATTTATGATATTTAGTGTCACAGATTAGAACACGTATATAAAATTGTTTTAAGAATAGTATTACCATAAAAAATTATTTAAGTACAATATTTTGACAAAAAATGAACATAGAATGACCCATTTTCAAAATGCTCTCCTTTTGTGAAAAATGCTTCTATTATAATAATAGTTTGCCTGTATATAGCTCAGACCTCTCTACAGAGGCTGAACTAGAATTTTTGAAATATACAACTTAGAAGTCAGTTTATCCATGTTTTACGGCAGCAGAGGGGAGAAATTTTAAGAAAAAAAATGCCGATAATTATTTAATGAGTTGTAACTCTGAAAATAATGTGAATTTTTCAAAAATCATATTTGAGCCTCTGTACAGAGGTGTGAGCTATATACAGGCAAAATATTATTATAATAGAAGCAGTTTTCACAAAAGGAGAACATTTTGAAAAAGGTTATTCTAAGTTAATTTTTTGTCGAAGTATTGTATTTAAATAATTTTTTTTTGTCAAAATGTCCTTAAAACAGTTTTATACATGCATTCTAATCTAAGTGACACTAAATATCATGACAATTATGCATTTATGCGCTTTTTTAAAATCACGATTCCGAGCGTTGTCAGATACCTTAATCAACAATCCAATCAATCCATTTGTATACATTTACAAATGTCTGAAAAACTGCGAATATTAATACTATTGTAAACTGCAGAAGAAAGCAGGGACGTTTTAAGGTAAGGATCTACTGTGGGCTCGGACCCAGAGCCTTGTCTCATTCTCAACTCGGCCTTAATAAGATCATGATCCGAATAATTTTAATAGTTAAATTATACCCCCGTACATATATTCCGAAAACTGGTAATTTCGAACTGCATGTAAACTGGTAGCTGTGACAAGGCTGTCTTATTATGACATGTCCATCATCCGTGCATAGGCCTAGGCCAGAAGTGGTGAACTTTTATGGATCAAAGTGCTATTTTTTCTAAAGAAGTGTTTAGAGATTTATAGCCATGCCGTTAAATAATTTTGGAAAAATAATAAAACGAAATTTTACAAATGTTTTAGTTATATGTGTAATTAAAATTAAAATGACATTAGTGTGAATTCTGTTATTGCAAATTGGATGACAAATAACTTATATTAGGATTGTAAGATGGTACTTTTTGTAGAAAACATGCTGAATTTTAATCATCTGCCAAACGGTTTCTAAGCAATTGATTATTTTTGCTGTGGTTCACTCTTTTTCTCAAGAGGGTTTGTAGTTTGTTTCAAAATACCGTTTTACAGACAATGTTCTGCATTCAATTATTCCAGAACATATGACACACACCGCTTTGTCGCCTTTACTAATAATGTCATGTTTCTCGGTCCACGAAATTCGAAATTCTCTGTTACATTAATATCTTGCACTTTTTGTTCTTTTGCTGAACTAGCCATGTTAAATAACAGTTAAAAATCATAAGTATAACGCAGTTAAACTTTAATGTACAATTGTGTCAATGAAATTGACAATGCTATGCGTAGACAAACTTTACATCATTGGCAATTGTAGTCCACAACGTAACTAATGCAAGACAATAACAAACGACCCGCCGCCCCACGACCCATCACTCGCGTTTTCTCGTAATTCTTCACAGTCAACTTTGAAATTTTGTAATAAAATGCAAACCATTTTTTGATCCCTGGCGTGCGAATAATATTGTGTCGCGTGCCATCAATGGCACATGTGTCACGGGTTCACCATCCCTGGTCTAGGCCACAATCCCCATACTCCATCGTTACTAATTTAGTCGAAAGGTTCAGTCGGTTGAGGGGGTTTTGCCTAGTTTGTGGGATTGTCCGTCATTATTTTCTACGGGTTACCGTTTGTACGAATGTATAACAACTATTTAAAGAGGTCGCAAGCGGGGCCTACTTTTGCATAATGGCCCAGGTCTTCAAATTGTGTTAAGACGTCCCTGATGTAAAACAATACCTCCGCCAGAGCAAGATATCACCAAGTTAATGTATACTCAGCGCATTGATTATCTGCAGCAGGCATCTAAATGCGATATTTTCAGACATATATTCAATGACAAAAAAAAGCTTCTTTCTCTAGCCTTCATGATTTCGCTTAATAATTTCAAGCTTTTGTATACTTAAATTTAAGCAAAATCTGATATATTGAATGATTCATAAATCAATTAAATTATTTTGGCTTACTTTATGGCTTACGGTTTGTATAATAGTTTTCTCATTAATAAGATAAGTTTGAATACCGTTTAAGGTATTCGACTACGTTCGGAACCGTGATTTTGCAAAAGCGCATAAATGGATAATTTTCATGATATTTAGCGTCACTTAGATTAGAATATATGCATAAAATTGTTTTAAGGACATTTTGACAAAAAAAAATTTATTTAAATGCAATATTTTGGCAAAAAATTAACTTAGAATAATCTTTTTTACAAATGTTCTCCTTTTGTGAAAAATGGTTGTAGTATAATAATATTTTGCCTGTATATATATAGCTCACACCTCTCTACAGAGGCTCAACTATAATTTTTGAAATATACAACTTGGAAGTGGGTTTATTCATATTTTACGACAACAGAAGTGAGCAATTTTAAGAAAAAAACGCCAAGAATTATTTTAATTGGTGGTAACTCTGAAAATAATAACGTAGTCGGATACCTTAATACTGTTGATTATACTCCTATTTATTATGTCTTCAAATTTTACCAAACATTTTATTGACCTTTGGGATGAATGTAGAAGGATTTTTTTTAAAAAAAGGAAAAGAATGAGAGATAACTCCTAACTTTTCCTTTTGCTAAGACATTAACAAATCACATTTTGTACGTTGTGTTAAAAGATTAAGACTCAAATTTACTACAAATGAATCATTTCTGACTTATCTCCACTTAACAAAAGTTACATGCTTACCAAATTCCAAGTCTGTAGGTCAAACTGTTCAAAGCGGAGCTTGTACGTAAATCTGTAACAACCGCAATCTATAGCTTCCCGCAAACCTCCTTGGCAGTCGATTTCCGCAAAACCCGTTCTTAATGGATCTTTACTGAACAGAGAAGAAATACGATTGTCAAGTTTAAAGTCTATAAGTCTAATAGTTCAAAAACGGGTATTTCTTTCACCATCAAACAGGAAGTCACAAACCACGATAATAATAATCGTCGGGAGACCGACGGCCAGATGAGGTGAGTGGCCAAGTGAATGCGAAAATATGGAGTGCTATGGTAGGGTTGCGGAAACCTACAGGTATGCAAATTCCCCACTTCTCTCGAAGGTGTTGTAGGAAGTACCGTACATTGAGGACTAGAACGTGGGGTTCATACTTGATGGTGCACCAGCAAACTTTTTCAATTATTCAGCGTCACGCCTTCCCTGTTACATATTCCGGGAGTTGGATTGGACGTGGCGAACTTGTTGCTTGGCCTCCATTCTCCCCAGACCTAAATCTCTTAGATTTCTTCTTCTGGTGACACCGGAAATAGCTTGTGTATGACACTTTGATGGCTACAGTGGTGGATCTCACGGCACGGATCATCGTCGCTTCAGTTCTCATAGCTAACACATCGTATTTGCTTGACCACGCCCGACAATCCTTCATCCATTGATGTCGGCTATGCTATAACATAAGCGGGAGCAGCTTCGAACAATTCCTTTCACAATCACTTGTCGTTGCATTCCTGAAGTCGAGCTGTGATGCATTGTACGTATTAGAAACAGAAATGTATTTCTCATCTCTTATTGCCCCTTTTCCTTGCATTTGACATCACACCCTTCACAACTGTTTTTGCAAATTACTTCGACTACTTGGGGTTTGCGACCCTATGTTCTTTGGTGATTCATCATCCTCATGTTGCTTCCTATCAGCTTTCTGAATTTGTCGGTTGAATTCTGCAACATCCTGTATGCAGATGATTCTTTAAAAGTTTTTCTTCATATTGTTTCATAGATCGGGATTCGAGGATTTTATGGAAATCGGTCGCAAAGAGCAAGACAGTTCTTCAGAAACGATGGACATTTACTGTCGAAAAATCCGTCCTTGAAATGCAGGACACACAGGGAAATTTGCAGAATAAATATCTCAGAAGGTCTTCACATCTTCAACTGCGCTCAGACATATCTATTGGTGTCTAAAATACAAGTAAAAGGTTATTATCACTCGTTCGTTCTACTCAACAGTAAAAGAAATCGCTGGTTGACTCTTCAACAGTCAAGGCAAGACTACTAATTGCGAGTCAAAACAATACTCTGTTTCGGCGAGGTACTACATATTTATAGGCTTCACGGATCTTTCAAGAAAAATCCACTTGCGTCATAGATCGTGATATTAGTGTATTTCTCCACTAATTTCCAGAAGGATCCATAGGGATCCAAAGTTACCAATATGGTCGCAAAGTTCCCATTGAATCGCCATTATAATATAAGGAA